CATGTTTGTCATTAGGATAAAAACATCCTATATTATTTTGCAAATAACACGCAAATTCTTAAGTTTATTAATTAAAAAATTTCCATATATGATAATTTTCAATGATTAATAATTCGAAATTTTACGTGTTGTTTGGAAAATCGTACAGAACTTTTCTATTTACATTGAACTAAACTACAAGTATGTGACAGAGGACACAGCTTAAATCAAACATCCTGTATACACTTTATTTATGTTTCAGAACCCGTAGTTAAAGTACCTATTGATCTGCCAAATACTAAAATGTATGTTATTTATATATTTCATTATTTTATTATATATTACATATATATTGTGTATAGCGTGCCTTTACTTTAGCATCTGTGATGCGCAGATAGAACAGATTAAATTGAACAGCTAATTCTTATATCATTTTACAAAATCGCAATAATTGATGAGGAATTAATTAATCTGTATGAATTAATGAGTGTAAAGAAAGTGGTGGTTGGATTCTGCATAAAGATAAATGGCTTATTTCTAAAGATATCTTAGCAATGAGAAACGTCAACTAATTTTTAGAAGCGGAGTAACGCAGCGAGCAGCATGTGACACAGGGCTGTACGACGAAAATAAACGTGTTTCTCGCTATTAATTGATGCCTATTGTTGCTAGGATATCTTCAGAAGTAGGCCATTTTTCAATTAAACAGAAACATAAGCTAATAAGAGTAAATGTTAGTTGGGTTTGCGTAAACAATAATTAACAAATCAACTGGTTAATAAAATCTATTAAATAGACACACATGTTTCAGTCCCATTATGGATCATTTTCAATGTGATACACTTACAAACAAGAAAGTTTTTGTTTGCATGAATGATTCTAAATACGCAGCACGCAACGATGTCGCAAACGATAAATCTATATTCTGTCTTCGAGAATGATTGGTCTTCATCAGTAGCGCCTCACACCAAAATCCAAATTACAGAAAGTGTCCATGAGATGTCTAGACAATGTTTATACCTTGATTTTGGACAAAATAAGTTGAAGTGAGAAAACATACTTGTCTCGCTTCAACTTATTGCACTAGTTCAGCGGTGCAACGAAAACGAACAGGCTTATTATGGAAATAATTATCTCTTTATTAAAGCTGGTGTTTATTTAGTTTGGTGTGTTTTTAAAGTAAAATAAAACGGAAAATATACGGTATGTATATACTTATTTGAATATTATAGTTTTGCATATTTTACCTTTAAAAATTGCTTCCAAATTTTCCCTTGTTCTGTTTTTCAGATTTGCCAAAAAATAATTATTAAAATAATAATAATAATAATTATTTTTATTATAATAATTATTATTTAGGAAAAAAATTAGCTATGCATCTGATGTCCCGCGATAATAATGATTCTCTACCCGTAATACCAAAATGAAATTACCATGAAATTAAAAAAAAAGAGGGCAACTTCAATTCAGTAAGAAGGCGTTGTTAAATTTGTTATCAAAATAACATTAAAATGTTTGGTTCTAAAAAATTTACCATAAAAGTTGCAATATTCTGTGATAGTTGTTTCGATAAATCGCATTTATATTTGCCATATTATTATATTGTTTTGCACTATTACGAAAATCGTATATCAGAAACAAAACTATTAATTGTAATAGCGTGGGGCATATACGCCTCATGCGGCCAGAATCAAAAGTAACTAAAAATCGGTCTGGCACAGAACGTGTTAAAGACAGAATATAAATAGATCGTTTACGGTGTTGTTGCATACTGCGTACTTAGAATCCTTTATGCGAGCGAAAACTTATTTGTTTGTAAGCGTATTACATTGAAAATGGTCCAAAATAGAACCGAAACATTTGTGTCTATTTAATAGATTTTATTAACCATACAATAGATTTTATTAATCAGTTGGTTTGTTAATTATTGTTTGCACAAATCCAACTTGCATTTACTCTTATTGGCTTATGTTTCTGTTTAATCGATTTTTAATTCAAAAGCGTTAAATTATTTATTAAAGCATTTTTCTTTATACAGCCTAATGTTTTCTGGGCGATCATTATTTCATAGAGATTAATTAATTCCTTATTAACTATTACGATTTTTTGCAAAATGGTGCATCATTTTCCTGTTTAGTTTAATTCGTTCTATCTGCACACCATGGATGCCGAAATAATTATCGGATATATATGAAGTAACTAGATATATTTAAATTACAATTTACTGATTTTTTAACTCAATTTTAATTTTTTATTACTTTTTATTATATATATATATATATANAAATAAATATATATATATATATATTTATATATTTATATAATAAAAAATATATATATAAAATAAATAAATAAATAAATATATATATATATGTATATATATAATAAAAAGTAATAAAAAATTAAAATTGAGTTAAAAAATCAGTAAACGATTGTAATTTAAATATATCTAGTTACTTCATATATGTCCGATAATTTTTTGTGTGTGTGTGTATTTTGATATATTATTTTGTATAGAACATAAATAATATCTTTTATATTAAACAAAGTAACGTGAGCTTTTGTTAATTTCTATTTTTTAGGCGAATGTTCTTGCCAGACCCCAGAGATGGTACACTTTATTTATTCGGCAGAGACTCAGAGGCATTAAAAAAACTACCATTAACTATTCCTCAACTGGTAGCCAATAGTCCTTGCAGAAGTAGTGATGGCATGTTGTACACTGGTAGAAAAATTGATACTTGGTTTAGCATTGATCCAACGACTGGTGAAAGAGAACAACTTTTAAGTTTCAATGAAGTGAAAAATACTTGCCCTTTGAAAATACAGAATGCCATTTTTGTCGGTCGCACGGAATATAATATTATTATGGTCGATAGTAAGCACAAAGACAGGAAATGGAATGTGACATTCTATGATTATTCTGCTGACAAAATGGAACCTGATGTAGCTGATAATTATGGTATGTTCTCTATTATAAAACGATGATTTTAAAGTTTTTTTTTTTTTTACATTTTTATCATATGTATGCATGTAGCGACTCCGGTAATTATACATATTGAGAGACATCTCACCGATGACCTTGACATATGTATCAAGGAAAAGATTCTGAGTAATCATTCGAAGATTTTAGTCGGCAATTATTGTTTATTAAAAAGTTATTAACAAAAGAAGTTTGAATTATTCTGGTTATTAACGCTTAAGGCTCTTGACTCGCTATGACTGTCTTTGTTTAATAACGTCAGAAGCAAGATAACGCATGCAAAAAATTCTTGCATACGTCCAAATAAAAAGATATATCCGCAAAATAATATTTATATAAAAAATATATTTAGCATACTCATAAAATTAGGCAAATATTTTTCTCTTATTAGAACAATTAATTAATAGTCGCAAAATTAACTTGACATGGAATATTCTTTTTTAACTTCTTTTCTCATGATTTGTCAATGTTAATTTTACGGCTATTTATTAATTGTTCGAGTAAAAGAGAAGTGTTCGTCCAATTTTTCAAATGTACTGAATCGATCATAAATGTCATTTTGTGGATATATCTTTTTTTTTTATTTGAATGTATAACGTAAGAATTCTTGGCATGTGTTTCCAAACAAGCACGATTACAGCAAATAGTCAGAAGACTTAAATTATTCGCCTTATTAAATTGATGAATATTTTATACTAAAATAGATTTTTTTATTGCAATGAAAGTTCCATTATGGAATATGGGGGAGGGGAGAGGGGGGTTGGCTACTCTGAGCTTCTCTTCGGAGGGTTTCGTGGAACCTCCGACTAAGATTCAAGAGAGGGAGTTCAAGATTACGAAGTCTCCTGGTCGGGAGTCATATGCATTCCTTAAATACCCAGCCATATTCAAGGGGCCGATTCTTTATTAGGTTTATTTTAAGTAAAAAAATTCACACAAACATGTGTCCTAAACAACTTAGTTTTTAAAATACAGGATGTTTTAAAAAAAATTTAAATGTGCTAATAATCTATTTGAAGTACCAGTCACAAAAGAAAAAAATGAAAACAGCAGTAAAGAAAAATGTAAAAATAAGCTTCAGTTCTTTAATATACCTGAAATCTTTGAACGTTAATCTTTGAGAAGGAAGACCGAATGGTATATCATGGCGGAAAGTCATCATTTTCAACAATTCATTTAATTGTTTCATTTCTAATTTTTGGTCTTTTGGCTATTATATTTTTGAAATATTACCCCTGATGTATTATAAACTTATAACAAGTTTCATTGAAGTATCTTAAAGCCTGTGTGATATTTACATTTTCCTGAAAATTTCAACACCCGGAATTATTATTTACATTTTCCTGAAAATTTCAACACCCGGAATTATTTCGGAAACTAAGCTGTTTAGCACACATGTTTATATAAACATTTTTACATGAAATAAACTAAAGAATCACTCACTTGGCGGGGTATTTAAGGAGCATCCTGTATACGCAGAGTGTGCCAGGAGGAAAGATCAATATTTTGGGAAGTGATAATATCGGTCATTTTAAGTAAAGATGTTTATATGAACGGCCTGTTCCGAACGTTTCCGAGATAGTTTAAATTTGGCGCATGGTATTACTACTGCTCTTGCTGGATCAGTTTATTACTCACTTACCATGTCAAGTACTAGAAAGAATCATTGAGAATAATAAATCGGTAAATTATTTCCTTCGATACATAATTAATATCTGCTATAAATGAATTTTACCGATTCCGTTGTTGCAAATTAATACCGTTTTATTGTTGATTCGACTTGATTTCGCTATGAATACTTCCTAAAATGTGTTGATAGAATATGTATGAATATGTGTAATTTATGTAACATGAACTATGAATTTGTACTATCAGCATATTTCGGTTAGCACATTTAAAAGAATACTGAATCAGATTGAGCTAATAATAGCAAAAATGCTATTAAATATTCCTACTAAATGCAAGGATCATGCAATCTATGCAGTGCCCGAATTTATCCTGAAGTTTCAGAGTGGAAAACTTTCTCTTAGGTGCACCCAACTGGAATTTTCGAACGACAGTACAGTCAATACTTTGGTATTGAAGTATGTGAATCGATGTGAAGTGTTAGTTGTTTGATATGTTGATAGTAACATTATAGAAATGTAAAAATTTTCGCATATCTTCATAAATGTCGAATATGCGGATATGCTGTATGTTTACGGCTTCCGTGATGGTAGTACCACCGCTGCTGTTGAAGAATATCATCGACCCTTCCTTACGCATAGAATTCCGGATCGTAGAATGTTTTTCCAAGGCTTTCAATATATTGAAATCATGAAAATGCTACGCTTCCCAATGCTTATGTTTCATCTGAACGAGAACGTCAACAAAATGTAGAAGAACAGGAAAACATTATTGAAATAGTACAGCGGAGCCCTACTATTAGCACGCGAAGAATTGCTGTACGTGCGATGAGTACGTGTTGTTAACAGTGAAAATTGATGTTAACGGTGGAATTTCTGCTAATTTATTATTAACTGTAACTGTAAACTGTAAAAATGTATCACTTGCTAAACAATAAATTATTAGAAACGGTACGTAGCATCTTTTTCTTAACAATTTGCAAATGCACATCCAATCTTGGAAATAGAACGACATACGTTCATACGAATATTTTTGCTTAAGATGACCGATACTATCACCTCCCACAATACTGACCTTTCCTCCTGGGACATTCTATATACAGAGTGTTTCACTTTAAGTGATACATTTGGTTATTTCGAAAATAAAGCATTTTTAGGGAAAAAATTCCGTGTAAAAGTTGTAAGTTTTAAGTGGCGTATTACAAAACAATGTTAGTATGACGTTGGACAGCATTGTTAAGGTAACACAAAAATTACTTTAAAAATTTTTATAGAAATTCTTATTTTTGATCGCATATTCTTATAGCTGATCCCGAGTGCTTTTCAAAATACTACAATAAAGTTATTTTCATTAAGTACTTCCTGAGTTACGAGGCTTGAAAGTTACAATACTTGCAACGTAGCACATGCGCGCACACGAGTCAGTATAATACTCCCTCGTACTATAACAAAAACGGCGGCAGCTGAACTCTCACAAGAACTTTAAATTTTTATCTATAGAGGAAGTTTCCAATTATGTTTTTGTGTAAATAAATCATAACTCATCGTGTATAAAAGTAATTATCATGATTAACCTGGCAATTCTGGATCGAACCCGATCCTGCCCAATTGAACGACTTAGCTTTCCTCTTTCAAGCTTTCCTTATAGCTTTTTTTTTTTTCAAATAATTTTTCATATTATATTAGATCTATTATATTAGATATATTTGATCTTTTTTAAAGTTCCCGTGAGTGTAGATGGAACTCAGCTGTCACCGTCGCATTTGCTCATAGCATGCAGGGGTTCCATACTGACTCGTACTTGCTACGCTGCGAATATTATAACTTTCAGGTCTCATAATATAAAAAGTATTAGATTGTTCGGATAGTTCGTTTCAAATCTTCTATGTAAGTTCACGACGCAATATTTTATTCAGAGTAAAAGATTATTCGTTTTTTATAAATAAGTAATATTTTCTATAAAAAGGTCGAGAATTAAGTCGTACACCTAATAGTAAGATATTTAAAAATAGAAAGACATTCTTATTGCATAATAATATAAATTCGCACAGGTGAAATGAAACACGATCGTAACAGAATAAAACGGTATATATCTCATATTATGTTAGAAAGAAATCTGAAAGCTGGCCTTTTTCAAGAGACGCGTTTCTCGATACGTCTTGTAAAAAAATGTATCCTCAAATATTCACTTTTCGACAATCTTACCTCGGCCTTTCATTATATTTCTCTAAACCCTGAAACATTCATCTGGAACATTTTTTAAGCCGCGTAATTTTTAAGATATTTGTAGACTTTTGAAAAATCCTGTATATAATATCAAATACACAGTAGGATATATGTTTCATATTAACTTTGCTTTTAGATTTGTTACATTTTACTACAAGTTCAACAGGTCGTGTCGTGACGCTGGATAAGAGATTAGGCATAGTTCTTTGGGAATTAGATCTCAAAAGTCCGATAATAGCAATGTATACTCTAACTGAAGATGGATTGCTCACAGTTCCTTTTACAAGTATTGCTGAAGAGACACTGGATTCATTATTGGGAAGACTTGCAGCAAAATCAACTGATATTCAGTTGTTGTAAGTTAAAATATGCTCAGGACAAAAAAGTCTATGCACTGAAAAATTAAATGGAAAAGTTTATGTCTTTAACAAAGCTAAGTGTTAAGTAATTATTTTTTTTTATTTTAGTAAAACTTTATACGTCGGACAGCATCGGTATGGCCTCTATGCTTTACCATCGCTCGTTGACACGGATATGACAACGATATCAAATAATATTGAGCATTTGCTGCTGGAAGGTCCGTTGCTAACCTCACATCTTGATACAGATGACAACGAAATGCCATTGCCAGGAAATCACGTTTATATATCTAACATTGATGTAGCTAATGACTATCAGAGCTTCAAGCGCACTAAAAATATCATTATGTTAGGTAATATATATATGTCACGTTTACACACATTCGTGTATTACGTGAACAAATCAACAACAGTATATTCTAATATTATACATTTTGTAATTTTTGTAATTCTACAATTCTTTTACTCAGATCATTACAAAGTACATGCGGAATATAAAGCGCAGAATCAGCCTCTTCAAATAACTGGGCGATCTGACCCAATAATCGAGTCTTCTGGATCGAACGTTACCGGTACGAATTTATCTATCGCCATGCAAACGGATATGTCGAACGATACAGTGCAGTCGGAAAGCAAGCAGAATTGGCAGAAAGTTATATCAAAAACTTACAGCGCTAGCAAAATATGGATAAATCAGCAAGAGGATAAGGGTTTAAAGTTAGCCTTGATTATACTCATAGGATGCATCATTGTGATGTTTTGGTATATGAATACGCAGCTTAAGGGATTTCAGCAACTGTCACAGGTACGATATTATATATATATAATAAGTAAAGATATCACTTTTTCAAGTCAATCTTAATAAAATCAATTGATATCTTAATGTTTTAAAAATTATGTAGTAGTGAAAGTTTAGACATTCCATTCTCGGAAAAATAGAACTTATCAGTGATTTTATAATCTGTAGAATTTTATAGTGATTCTTTCACTATAATTTTTATTGTTAAATTTTGTTTTGTTTAGGGTTCGCGCGAGAATAGTCGCACAAGTTCTTTTAATAAAGATAACTCTAGTATTATGCCGGAAGACATTGAGGAGAGCATAGTGAGAGTGGGAAAAATTACGTTCGACACAAGGCAGGTCCTAGGCAAAGGATGTGAAGGAACATTCGTGTACAAGTAATTCATATGTTCAACTTGTAATTTTTGCGAATACAATAGGGGAAAAGGGAGTGCAACGTAAAGATATTGTTTTTACATGGAAAAAGGTTTATTCCTATTTTACTTCTTCGTTTAGAGGTGAATTTGATGGTCGTGCTGTGGCCGTGAAACGTCTGCTACCGGACTGTTTTATGTTTGCTGATCGAGAGGTGGCCTTACTAAGGGAATCAGATGCACACGCGAACGTAGTCAGGTATTTTTGTACCGAACAGGATCGTATGTTTAGGTACATCGCTTTGGAGCTAGCTGAAGCTACCTTGCAAGATTACGTAGCAGGCAAATACAATAGAGAGAAGATATCTGTAAAGAATATCTTGTATCAGGCAACATCCGGGTTGGCGCATTTGCACTCTTTAGATATCGGTGAGTCTGATAAGGAAAGATTTGCAAGTGTTTCCCGATAATTTTGACCGAATTTTTATGTATTGTAAAGCAAAGTAACAAACACTTTCTATATGTACTTTCTCACACACACGCACGCACGCACGCACGCACGCGCACACACACACACACACACACACACACACACACATCCAATTTTTATAGTCTCTCTAGAAAGTTATATTTTTTTCTCACTTTTGTCTCATTTATGCGTTATGATTAAATTGAATTAAAAAAATAGACATTTCTAAAAATTTTTGAAAGGTAAACTCTGAAAGATATAATTATTTAATATCTGTTTTGTTTTTTTACTTTTAGGAAATTAAGTTAATTTATAAAAGTTTATAATCTTGGCGCAGTCCACAGAGATATTAAGCCTCACAATGTGCTTCTTTCCGTTCCTGGGCCACGAGGTGAAGTGCGTGCTATGATATCGGATTTCGGCTTATGCAAAAAACTTCAGCTGGGTCGCGTGTCATTTTCTCGAAGATCTGGTGTTACTGGAACGGATGGCTGGATAGCACCGGAAATACTTAATGGAGAGAGGACGACATGTGCGGTCGATATCTTCTCGCTTGGCTGTGTCTTTTATTATGTTCTCTCCAATGGCAAACATCCCTTCGGCGATCCCCTACGAAGGCAAGCGAACATTCTCTGTAAGTAGCGATTAAGTTAAATTCCTAAGTTACAGTATTTAACTGTTTTAATATTCGTGTTATTGTTTTAGTGCTATTGTTCATGTTATTTTTATTGACTATTTTACGTATTTCATAAATAAAACTTATATATTTATACATATAATTTATATATAATTACATATAATTATACATATTGGATTATCATCGTAAAATAACCGTCATAATAATATGTAGTTACATATCTATTTCAAATGCATAGAATAAATGAAATATTAAACAACTATCATCTAATTCATGTAACTCATTCTATCCTTGTTGTAGGTGGCGAAATCAATTTGATAGCACTCCAAGATATATCTGCAAATGACAGAGAATTAGCGTTATTGCTCATCAAAATGATGATTTGCAATAATCCTTCCGATAGACCACCAGCATTGGCAATTTGTAATTATCCATTTTTTTGGAGTTCATTAGAAATTCTGAATTTTTTCCAGGTATATACAATTTTTTAATATTTTCAAGATTTTCTGCCCACCATCGAAGTGAAAAAATGTATAATCTAAAGTATCTATTTCTACTTATTGTAAAACTTTAAAATAATATAAATAATATATATAACATGATGCGTCCAAGAAGCATCCAATAACGGAAAATTTACTACAACAACGTTACTATTAAAACTTAAAAATATTGTCCTCTTATTATTTATGTGGCCAATCTCTACCCACTAAAGTCATCAGTATAATTTCCAGAATTTAATCATTATTATCGTAATTTATGTGACAGGATGTAAGCGACCGAGTGGAAAAAGATCAATTGGACAGCCCAGCTTTAGTAGCTTTGGAAACTTGTGGCGAGCGTGTGATAGAAAACGACTGGATATCGTATATAGATGTAGAAGTTGCATCAGACCTACGAAAATACAGAAGTTACAGTGGTCATAGTATGAGGGACCTACTTAGGGCTTTGCGGAACAAGGTCAGTGAGGATTAGTAATGATAAAATCCAAGAGCAAAATACAAATGTTGAGTTATTTTTAATGTGTCATTTAACTTGTGTTGATGTTAGAAATGGACAAAATACGATAAATTATACATACTTTCTTGTTTCCTGGTCTTGAGACACCCAGTATATTAACTCAGCATTGGGGCATGCTGATATGTTTTTAGAAACATCATTATCGAGAATTAAGTCCAAAGGCGCAAGAGAGTCTCGGCGAGATTCCTGTCCAATTTACGGAATACTGGCTGTCCAGATTTCCGTACTTGTTGTGTCATGTGTGGTGCGCGATGCAGAGTTTTCGAGGCGAGTCGAACTTTAAACGTTATTACCATTCTCAATATATTTTTTCGTGCGGTTGTGAAGAGCAACAAGGGGCTATACGAATGACCCGAATGAAAAACACGCTGACATCAAATAGGAGGATTCATTCGAGTACTAATCCAACGAAATATCGTGGTCAAAGGAAGAAGCAGGAAAGAAAGAAGCAGGAGGAGCCGATCCCTTGCTTAATGTCGCCGGCAAATTAAATTATTCTATATAAAATAATTATCAATGCAAATAGAGATGAGAGAAGAACAGTATGTCTGTGCGTATATATCTGGACCGAAATGAAATCTAGGTTTATGATTAAATCTTGATTTAATTTCAATAAGATATTTAATAACATAAGGAATCACTTTCGATCCCTTAAGTGTGACAATGTTTGTATTACATAATTTTTCGCATATATAAATATAGTTTTTAGGTCTTATTTAAATTTTTGTCTTTTTTCAAATAAGAAAAAAAATTTTAATTTTAATACAAGAAAAATACTCGATCTTGCCTATCTGCTTTATTGGACTTTTAATATTCAAATTTTCATAAGATTTCCTTATTTCTTAAGCGAATTGAGTTTTGAATTATTATTAGGGCATTATTTAAACAGTAAATAATATAAAGATATTTTTGGATTAAAGAATATATCTGTGATCTTTCACTAAACTTACTCGCTTATTCACACGTACAGGATGAAAAAAGTCGCGGACTTCTGAAATATCTCGGAAGAAGTAAGGAGGAGGGATATAGAAAAAAAAATGTTAAATATCAAAGTAGTAGGATTCAAAGCGGGGCATTTGATGGTGACCTTGACTTACAGGTCAAATTTAAGGGTTATTTCAAGATTAACTTGGAATTTGTGAACGGGAACCCCTATTTTTGATTTCAGAAATGAAAAAAATAGAAAATTTTACGTTTAGATAAGTGGTCATGTTACGGAATTAAATTGATCCCTAGAGATCCCTAGAGAGAACATTTGAAGGTCAAATCAATTTTTAAATGAATATTGGTTCAGGACAGCATTTTAGAGAAAAATTAGTTAGATACGAAAATTGTAATTGCAGTTGTAGGGTTCAAAGTGAGGCATGTGAAGTTGATCTTGACCTCGAAACAGGAGTCGGATATTTTTAACTATTTTTAATATTTAATAATTTTAGGATCATATCAATGCCAATTTGATTTTTTTTTTTTTTTTTTCAATAGAAACCTTTATCTTTGACACCTGAAATCGACAGAATATGAAATTTTACGCAACATTGTGTGGTCATGACTTGAGGTTACCTTCAATCTAAAGGTCATACAAAAGTCAAAGGCTCTTTCCGAAAGTTAAAAAAAACACCTATCTTTAACAAAAGTAATCGATAGAGTCCACGTAACCGTGGGTTGAATTAACCCCTGCGAGTAATTGCGAGTTTAACCATTCTTTTTCATGAAATACCTAATTTGAAAATCATTATTTCATAAAAATAATTTGAAGTCAATTTGACCCCAAATCGGTATGACGTACCTTTACGTACAATTTCATATTCTGTCGATTTCTGGAGTCAGAGAAAGATTTTTATTCGGATAAAGTCCGTTGGACCTTCATTTGATATTCTAGAATCAGTTTGACCTCTAGGATCAAATTGACTCTTAGATGTGACCACATATTTTTACGTAGAATTTCACGCTCTGTTAAATTCTGGTGTCAAAATTCTGATATCCGATTTCTTCAGATAAAACCTGTATGACCCTTGAGATAAAATTGGCATTGATATGACCCTGAAGTTTAGCTCCTATTTCGAGGTCAGATCAACTTCAATTGTCCCACTTTGAACCCTATAATTGCAACTATATCTTTCGTATCTGACATTTTTCCCTAAAATGCTTTCTTCAATAATTTTTCATGTAAAAATTGATTTAACCTTCAAATGATCCCTAAGGGTCAATTTGATACCGTAACATGACTACTTATCTGAACATAAAATTTTCTGTTCATTTCATTTGAAAATTTCAAGTTGACCTTGAAATGATCCCTAAATTTGACTCTTAGGTCTTAGGTCAAGGTCACCATCAAATAAGTCACTTTGAATCCTTTGAAATATTTTGAACTATTTTTATATTTAACCCTTTGCACTCGAGGGCTCCGGAGCGGAGCCCTCAAGTGCAAAGGGTTAATATTTTTTCTATATTCTACTTTTTATATCCTATTCCTTTCGGGATATTTCAGGGATTCGGAACTTTTTCCCCATTCTGTATATGCGTGTGTACATGCTACACATTTGTCCACATGCTCCAACTCTGATTAATTTAACCGACTGATTAACTTAACGGAACTTAACGGAATTGATTAATCACATTAGCCAATTAGCTAAACTGACTAATGCGATTGGTCATTAATACATTGAGTCAATTGGTTAACTGGAGTTGGTGCAAATAGTTTATAGCATTTATTCTACAATCAAGACTCAATATGTCTACGAATGATAAATTAATTATCGTATTGTCGAAACCATAGAATTTGGAAATTTTTATATCTAGAAATATACGGAGACATAACCTAAAATTGTTCTTCTTAAAAAACCCTAATAATCGGAAATATTTCGCAATTTGCATTTCATCAACATATAAAAGACTTATTTATATATGATATTTGTGAGAATACATATAGCGCGATTTTATATATTAGAATAAAATTTAATTTCAAACATAAGGGGACCATTTATAGACGGATTATAATGTTTAATTTTATATTGATAATTATAGATAGATATAAGATATTTGCGCAGGATAATGATTGCGATTAATACAGGGTGTTAATAAATTGATGTTAACGCTGTTGTACAGCGTTCGGGAGCAAATAAGAATTGAGTCAAATTGAATAAAAAATCCCCTATCTATTTGGATACTACCTAAGTTTGGAGTCTACCTAAATCCCTACCATTGTACTAATACAACTATATACATTTTTGAGTTTAATTAAAGAAAATTCATGATTAATCGCGTGCAACGAACTGAATATGCTATATAGAGACGATGCTTGGACCCTCACTCGCCGGTTCGCTAATAAGTAGTCAGATTACGTTTACATGGTAACCTTAAATCCAGACATAATAAGAATAGACCGAATGTGTTCTCTAAGCAATGAAGATTAAATTGAAAGAAACAAACCAAATGTGCCATATAGCTTCTTGTCTCTAGTGAGGAAAGAGTGAAATATAAGAAAGATAGGTGAAAAAAAGGATAGGGAAATTATATATGTAATACTATTATATAGCCAATGTGAGAGAGAAGTCTTGTCGTGCAACAACGGTGCGGGAATATGTAAGAATTTTTCTCTCTTTCTGTATGTATTTTGAACGTAATGCGCATGCGTCGGATTGACGTTTCCGCCAATAAAAAAATAAAATATATTTTAGCGCGCGCGCGCGTGTGTGTGTGTGTGTGTGTTGTCATCTGATCGCCGCATCTGCGCACTACGGTCAAAATATATATATCGGGCGTCTGTCCTTCCCTTCTGAGACGACTTTCTCTTATAGGCAGCATAGGACGACTGACTATATAGTAGTGTTACATATAAAGGGTTTTTCAACAAGAGTGATCGAAACTAAAGTTAAATAAAACACACAATTATCATTGGAATCAAATTAATTTTTTTTATTTGTAAAGTAGGAAGTAGTAAGTTTATGTGTGCACAAGGATATCGGACAAATAACCGCCTCGTAATTTTTTGCAGACCACGATTCTTTTGTCAAAATTTTTAATCACATGTTCACACATTGTGGGCTCTATCTCACCGATGACACGACAAATTTCATCTTTCAATTCCGGAATCGTTGTGGGATTATTCTTATAGACTTGCTCTTTAACATAGCCCCAAAGAAAATAATCCAGGGGCGTCAAATCACATGATCTGGGTGGCCAATTGACATCACTGTTTCTGGAAATTATGCGCTGCGGAAAGGTCTGATTCAGTAAATCCAATGTTTCTCGGGCTGTATGGCGTCTTGTTGAAACCACAGGTTCTGTACGGGCATATTTCTAAGTTGTGGCAAAAAAATTTGGTTAACATGTGACGGTAGAGCTCCCCATTGACGGTTACGTTGTTTCCAGCGGCATTTTCGAAAAAGTACGGACCAATGACTCCGCCAGACCAAAATGCGCACCAGACAGTCACTTTCTTTGGATGTAATGGTCGTTCAACAATCACTCTTGGATTTTCCTCACCCCAAATGCGACAATTTTGCTTGTTGACATAGCCACCAAGCTCAAAATGTGCCTCGTCACTAAAGATCAAATTCATGGAAAAATCATCACCTTTTGTTTCGATCCAATAGACAAATTCTCGACGCAATCTGTGGTCCGTTGGCTTCAATTCGTGGGTTAGTTGAACTTTATATGCTTTTAAAGACAAATCTTTTTGCAAAATACGCCATAATAATGTTTTAGAGATACCCAATTGTTGAGAACGGCGTGGAATCGATGTGTTTGGGTCATCGGCAACACTCTCACTGACAGCATCAATATTCTCCTGTGATCTGGCTGGACGACAGCGTGTTGTTTTTACGTCTTCTACTGATCCAGTGGACTCAAATTTGGCAATAATTCGACCAATATGTTGCTCAGATGGACGATGTTGTGGAGTGTAAAATTTATGCAATTTACGAAATACATTTTTATTTGATCGTCCATTTTCATAATACAATTGAACAATCTGAATGCGTTGCTGTAATGTGTATCTTTCCATGGTTAAAAACTTACTACTTTCTACTTGTCAGCTGTCTAGTTTGCTTGTCGCTGTCAATGAAATACATGTAAAAACTAACCTCACTTTTTCGAACTACTCTTGTTGAAAAACCCTGTATAAGGGAAACAGTTGAACGCTCGATCGTTCACGCAGCGCAGAAAAGGTGCGTTTAGCTATCTTCCTACTCTTTCTTACATCCTTCTTTCTTATACTCTACTCTCCTCATTAAAGAGAGAAAACTATACGACACCTTAGTATTAGTCCACAATAGATATTTTAAGCTAATTGACCAATCATAGTCGAATGTGAAGAAAATAATTAACTGTGATTGGTCAATTTTTTAAGGCTTAGAGCTTAAAGCACTTATTGTAGACCGACACTTAAGCCAGCGGCACACAATGCTTGTTTTACTTATTCATGAATTATGCATTAATATTGTTTACACATTTCAATATCGTGTATTATGGAAAATATAATCAAATAAAATTGTTAAAAAAATTTAATAACACTTGTACAATAAAAAAATTAATAATATTTGTTAATAATTATTAACAAATTGGGAACATTGTTCAATAAAAAGGAGATATAGTCCTGATTGCTTACCAATAACCGTGGAAGCTGTTTCAAACTTCGTATGCGTTTTTTTCGCATCTATGCATGGAGTCGATCTCGAACGGCAGGGCCAGCCGGTCTCATTCATCCCCCATTCCTGGTACGTGGTGGCCGTTATTTAACTTCAATGATCGGAAGGCAAATAATGAGTCCAACAGTTATGACGATATCCTTATTACTCATGCTTACCCAAATAGCAAGGTGACGTTAAATGACGTTTTAATGATGTCTTATTGACGTTAGAGACGTTATTAAGATGTTATTTGAAGTCACCTTGGATATGTAATGCATACTTATATAATTCCTTATATATATTTCTTATATTGACCAAAGTATTCCTATGCTATACAGGATATACCAAAATAACTGAATGCAAAAAATGAAAAATCATAAAATTTATTGTATGTGAAAGATTTCAGAAACAGCTCAGCTGAAAATTTTTAAGTTTATTACATGTGAAAGGTTTCTGAAACAGCTTAATTGAAAGGTTTGCAAAATTATTTCATATAAATATTCATATTTCATATGAAACGTTTCAAAAATAACAATTAAAAGTTTTGGAAAATTATCTTCATGTGAAAGGTTTCAGAAATATTCTTGTTGCAATATTTCAAATGACATATTGCAGAATTCTTTCAGAAATGTTGCACATGAAATGTGAAAGGTTGAAATAATTTTGAAACATTTCTGAAAGTTTTCTGCAACAATTGGTGCTGTGTTATGGGAATTATTCTTTACGAACCTTTA